AAACAAATGGAGTAACCCCTAGAAGATGGATTAGATGTGCAAATCCAGGTTTGGCAAAATTACTTAACCAAGTAGTAGGAAATGATGAATGGCTTTTAGATATGGAAATTTTGAAAGAATATAAACATATTATTAATGATTAGAAGATTTAGGTATAATGGTAGTCGATTAAAAGATAAAATAAGGAAAAACTTTATTGGTGGGTTAAAGATAGATGCGGAGTAGATTTAAATATTGATAGTTTGTTTGATATATAAGTTAAGAGAATCCATGAGTATAAGAGATAGTTTATGAACATTATATATTGTATAAAGAGGTATTTGGATATCAAAAATACACCCGCAGAATAGAGAAAAGCTAAGTTTGTCCCAAGATCGATTATGTTTGGAGGAAAAGCAGCTCCAGGTTATTATACAGCAAAGTAAATTATCAAATTAATCAATGCAGTTGCTTAAAAAGTTAATAATGATTAAGATATTGGAGATTTACTTAAAGTGGTATTCTTACCTAATTATAATGTTTCGAATGCTTAGGTTATTATTCCTGCTAGTGAACTTTCGTAGCATATTTCTACTGCAGGGTTAGAAGCTTCTGGTACTTCTAATATGAAATTCTGATGAACGGTTGTCTTATTATAGGTACTATGGATGGTGCAAATGTAGAAATTGCGGAAGAAGTCGGCGACGAAAATATGTTTATTTTTGGAGCTTTAGTTGATTAAATACCTAAACTTAGGGAAAAAATGAGAAGCTTAGAAGCTAAGGATTACTTCAATTAAAACTTGAATGATGTCTTAGATGCTATTAGTAGCGGATTGTTTGGATATAAAAATGAAATGGATTAACTTTTAGATACTATTAGAAATAAAAATGATTTTTATTTAATTGGGGGTGATTTCTAATCTTATTGTGAAGCTTAAGAAAAGGTAATTTAAAAAAAAAAAAATTTTTTTATATTTTTAATAAAAAGGTTGATTAATTATATAGAAATCCAACAGAATGGACCAAAAAATCAATTCTTAATACTTTACTTTCAGGTAAATTTAGTAGTGATAGAACTATTAAATAATATGCAGAAGAAATATGGTATATATATAATATATATATATATATATATATATATATATATATATATATATATATATATATATATATATATATATATATATATATATATTTGTTAATGCTTAATTTTTTTTTTTTTTTTTATAGGAATATTGAACCTTGCGAAGTTGTAAATCCTTCACATTAGGAAAGAGATAGATATGTCTCTAAATCATGAGGAAAATATTGAAAAAACAAAAATATATAAATATATTTTTGTTTTAATATAATTTTATTTTTATTATATTTATTTCTTTTAATTTTTATATTTGCTATCTAAATTATTTAGTATATATTTATCATTAAATTAATTTTTAGAATTATTATTTTATATAATTAATATGTTGAGTATAATAAATAATAATAATTTTATATAAAAAAATAAAAACAATAGTTTAGATTTTTAAAATTAATTATAATTAAAAAATAAAAATATATATATATATTAATAATAAATATAAACTTTTTTGTAATGATTTCATTAAAAAATAAAATAAAAGAAAATTTTTAAGAAAAATTTGAATTTTATTTTAAAAATTATTAATTCTCTTAAAATTAAATAAATAAATTGAATTAAATGTATAAAAAATTACGAGCAACTATAAATAATTTCAAAAATATAAATATAAGAAATATTAAAATAAGAAATAAAAAAATTAAAGTATAAATATAAAAAATAAAAATATAAAAATAACAATTATGAATTAAATATATAAATAAATATATATATAAATATATATATACATATATTTGTAATTATTAATATAATTTTTACACTATTTTTTTTATATTTTATTTATTTCAAATTAGTTAAATGATTTAATTTGTATTCTAGCATAAATAAACAAATTTATGTTTATTATATTTACAATGAAATAATATATTTTATAATCATTCAAAATTAAAATATTATTTAATAAAAATAATTGCTATAAAATTTTGTTTTATATTTTATAAAGATTTTTTTAATATAATATTAATAAATAATATTTTTCATATTTACAGTGTACTATTAAAAAAATAATTTTTTAATACTTTATTGTAAAAATATATTTAAAATCTTTTTTCATTTATTTTTAGTTTTCGGTGCTGTGTTATATTTCACAAAAAATTTTTTATTGATTATAAATATTAAAATGTTATTATTTAAGTGCAATAAATAAATATTAAATTATTTAAATAATATACACTAACTACTATATGAATATTTTTAATTTCTTAATAATTATATTTTTATTTTGTAAATTTAATCAATTTATTTAATTGATCAATATAAAGTTACAATTTTTTTTTTAATAAAAAAATCATACTTTTTAATTATATATTGGTTAAAAATAAATAATATTCAAAAGGAATAAGCGCTTTTTTTAACTGGTTTATGTTATGAAATAAGTAGCAATTATAAAAATAGTTAATTAAATTCTTATCTGTGTTCATCTATAATAAAAAGGTAAGTTAATTTATATTAATTTTACTTACAATAATAATTTTTCGATATGAATATTATAAAAATATATAATTTTTTGTTTTGTTTAATAAATATGAATTTGAATATCAATATATATATATTAGATCATATTTAAAAAGAATGTTGATTGTTATAAAAATTTGCAAAAAAATAATTTAAAAAATCTATGATTTTTATAATTATTAAATATTGAAAATAAAATAATTAAAAAAATAATAATAAATTAGTATTCTTAACATATATAGTAAATAATTATAATTTGTAATTAATTTTATTATATAATAATGAATAAAATATTTAATTATTGAATTTTTAAGAAAATAATACAAATCAATCAAAATCCATTTTTCTGAATCTAATTATTTTTTCAATTTTTCCTTCTCTGTTAATTTTTGCATATTAAATAGACTCATTGTCTATATAAGTAATAATAAAAATATTTAATAAACTTGCCAACAAAAACACTTAAGCGTCATACCCATCCAAATGTAAAACTTGTCCAAAAATAAGGACAGATAATACTACAATACCTATAAAATAAAGAATAGTTTATAAAATTTAAAGCATTTATTTTATTAGTTAAATAATTTAGAAAGAACTTAAGAATTATAGGAAAAATAAAAGTTAAAATCCAATAAATTATTTAAGCATATAAAAAGGCCTATAATCATCAATAATTAAAAAATATTGTCATCGTCATCATTATTTGAATTTTATTATGGAGATAATTAACCTTAATGAGATTATTAATCTTAAAGATGCTATTAGTCTTCATCTAAATCAAGTTTTCTATTATATTTTTCGTGATTTTCATTTCTAATTTTTAAGATCTGTCAAGTATAGTGTAAAAATAAACTTAATAACTTCGAAATAAGGAAATTTAATAACACAGTCAATATTCTGAAATAATAACTTTTATTTTTGAATGAAAATTTTCCTGCATTTTTTAATTAGTAACAAGATAAATTCAAAATTGTATTTTATTAATTTACGGGATTCTATTAAGGAATATTTTTATTATCGTTAGTAATGTTACTTTATGTAATTATATTATCCTATTATTATTGTATTTAATTTTATTAATTATAATCCTGTTTTCCGATATCTAAATTCTAAACTTAATTAATTTAACTAGTCTTTATACTTGTTGAAGGAGATCCATCTCCATTTACTTAATTGTATTATTTTTGTTATATTACTAAGTTATTTAATTATATATTTTATTAAACTTATAATTAAGAGTCTTATAATTTTTATCTTGATAAGCAAACCCATATTAAGAAAAATACTGCTGTTATAGAAACGTTTAATATTGCGTATATTAAAGTTACCATTTTGTCAGCTTTTGATCGTTTATCATCTTCATTTTTTTATCTTTATTGTTTTTATATTAATTATTTCAATTACTATAATTATTATGTTATATCTTCTGATTAAGGACCATCTTGAGAAGTTATTGGAGTTTACTGATATTCTGACGGAGGTTATTACGCATCCTAAGTTGGGTCTAGTTATTCTGGAAGTGCATCTTATATTTCAAGACTTCTAAGAAAAGCTTATGTAAAAGATATTAAGGTAAATATTATTATTAATAATTATATTTTATTATTCATTTATGCTTATTTTGAATATTTTATTTATAATATTTATTTTATTATTTGTATTATTATATTTTGTTTTTTTTGTTTTTTTTTTTTAAATAGGCATTGTCTTTTAATTTTTAATTTAGAACAGTAAAATATGACTTTTATCTATATACGTGAATTTTTTGTTTTTTTGTTTTTTTTATTTCTTATTTTTATGGTTTTATTAATATTCAGTAGGTAATTAAAAATATAATATAATAAATTGAATAAAAATATATAATAAAAAGAAATTTAAATAAAAATAAATCAATATAATAAAAATAATTTTCAATTAAATATATATTTTTTATATAATATTAATTTTAATTGCTATTCTTTTTTTTATATTTTTCATATTAAATAATTAGCCTCAACTTATCAATTTTATTTTTTGCTATTATATAAATACCAGAAATAATATAAATGAAATAATTAATGAATAGAAACAAAATTAAAAATTTAAAAAAGGAAAATTTTAAAAAATAATTTTTATTTCTATATACAATAAATTTTTTATTTTTTATTTATAATAAAAAAATAAATAATATCATAATTAATTATAAAAGATCATAAAAAAATTATGTATTTTATTAATACAAAAAATAAATAAAACAAATAGTATTTTAAATAATGATATTTAATTTAAATTAAATAAATAATTTTATTTTATTTATAGATGATTTTTTTCAAAAAATAAAATATTATTTATTATTTCAAAAAAATAATGATAAATAAAAATAATTTATTTATTATACATATCAAAAAGTTTAAAGTATTCATTCATATTTATATTTTATTAAAAAA